TAGACATGATGACTTCAAGTTTTCAATCATCAACTTTTTCTCCTGATGCAGCAATACACATTTATCACTAGCATTTGGGGTTGATTTGATACGCAAGAGCATGTTCTGCGTAAAAACAATTTCTAAAAGGAGGTAAGCTTTTCTCATACAAGTTGATGAAACAATCATATCAAAAGTTTTCGTTATTTACATATTTTTTTGTTCAAAGTCAATATTTCTCATGTTCTATGGTCAACTTGATCATACCTCTGATGTTTGGGGGTCCGTGTTTGCTCTGCCCCCAGTTTGTATTGTTTTATTGACTTTCCAGATTGAATACTGTTTGTTATCATCACATCTTTCATCGATACAATGTCAGCAAAAAAGGTCATTAGACTAAATGATGACTGACGTTTTTAATACTAATATTTAGACAAATAAAAACTAAATTTCTGGGGATTGTTCTGTTTTCCCAATCATGACAAAGGAGCACGCGGCGGGTGTGACTAGTTGGGAGGAAATGCTTGCTTCAGCATGGTACCTGATCCCACCTTATGTGTTTTAGAGGTCCTTAATTGTTCTGCTACTGATTTGTATTGTTTGAATAGACTTTTGTTCTTATACTCTGATGTCTTAGAAATAAAATTGTGATTATAATAACAGATTCGGATTGGTCTTTTCAGTATGAACAATTATATTTCTCTGAATTCTGTCTCTATGCATAGATAAACCACTTTACTGGAATAAATTACAAAACAAAAATATTAAGTAATTAGTAAAACATTTAATGACTATTAATTAATTTTTTAAATAAATTTTAAAAAATACCTCTCGAAATGACCGGAAACTTTTTGACCTTTACATTCTGGAATTTAGAGAACTTTAGTATAACATAATATTCATGTACCTGTGTAGCAGAACACGACGGTTCGTACCTGTGTGTTGTATAAACCACAAACCACAGGTAATAGTTGACAACATTCCGTTTCAAATCTAATAAACTTCAAAACAAGCGTTGCCAAGCCGGTCACCTGTAAATGATCTTTTTAGGAAAGAATTCTAACATTGATAGAAAAATTTACAAATTCATGAATGAAATAAAATGTCTTTAACTTTTATCTTTTCAACAAACATTCTCTTGATAGCTGTATTTCTTGTTATCGACATGCAATGTTTTAAGCATTAAGAAAATGTTAAAAAGATAGCGTTTGATAGTTTATCAATTTATAAACAAATTAATCACTTGTTTGTAATTGGAATGACAATTAATTTCGTTTTGGTTATTTAATGTTCTGATTAGTAGATGTGGGTTAACAATATCGATATCATGTACAAATTCCGATTTAGATACATGTAAGTTGATACTGGCAGACCAAATAACGACCAGACAATCATTAAGAAAGCTTGAATACATACCTATTCTATATAACTCCGTTTTCGATAACCTCGCACATATAATATATACATGTAATTAAAACTGATCAAAAACCTGCTACTAATGCATGCACGGATCCAGAAGGAGGAGGGGGAGAAGTGGAGGTGAATTGTCTTATACTAAAAAACAAATCACTAAAATTTGTTAAAACCTCAAAACATATATCTTAATTTCATGGTTCGTATTTGTGTATGTTTTGGAAGGGATATACGTATATCCAGTATAGCAATAATAGCAGAATTGTAGACATATATGGTGAAATATTTGTCGATATTTTACATACAAATTGTAATTAGTGTCATTTATAGAAATCAAGAGCCTAATTATCTAATTACTTGAAATATAAATTACTCAAATTTTGTGGTTAAAATAATGTATTTGTTTATTTAAATAGAAAATTAAATACTCCGTTTTTAATATTTAACTCACACAGAATGCCTAGAGCGAAAAATTGAAATATAGCTTCTATTTTTACTTACTTGCCTGGAAACTATCTGCTGCGTCTTAGTTGGACTTCCAACCTTGTTTTTTAACTTAGCGTATTCAGTTAAAGTCTTCTGCAAAAGAAATTGACTCTATATGCATTCTTTGTCTAGCTTTCTTGTTTTTTTATTGTTTTTTTTTTGGCCATAATTATGTTGCATCCTAGATCGAAATGTTTTCAAACAAGAATGTGTGTGTCAATTTCGAATTTTGGAGATTATAGGGAACATTCCATTTATTGAAAAGTACAAGATGTGAACATCCTCACGTCTACAGATTTATTTTCTAATCAGTTGAGGAACAAAATCAGCCACTATTAGAATTAGCTAAATTTGCACTACTGGACGTAAATACAATTTTCATTCCATTTAGCCTGGTACTTGCTTATTTTGGGTACAGATTACAAGATAATGATCCTGCACTCACGCCAAATTATGTTGTCGCCAATGTCGAAGAAATATCTGAAATAACTTTAAGGACATATCTTCTAGACGATGAGACATGGAAAGTTTTATATAAACTTAAGAAATTTTATTTAGAACTGAATTCATACTTTCAAATCTTTGGATAAAGAAAATAAAGGAAATATAGATTTGTATACTAGTAGATGGAAAACAGTAGAAAATATTATTAAGTTCAAGACTGTTTTTGTTACACTTGTTTGAGGAATTCTCTATCATTTTGGTCTGTTTTCGTTAGCATAAACCTGAATTTGCAGACATTTAAAAAAACTAATTGCTGTGGTTTTGCCCAAATTAAAAATACAAAGAAAAAGTATATTTACATGTTACCATCTACTTGAATAGCATCACAAACTGTTATTTATGTTTTGATTAACATTTCTAAAGCTTAATGTAGTATAATAAGAAAAGATGTTGCATAGTTGAGAACAACGTTTAAGATACAAGTAAAAAGAAAGACAGGGACATTATGGACACTATAAAAATAGAATATCTAAGTTTGAAAGTTCAAAGTAATGAGTCTCTCAGACTAGATATTGCTTTTATACAGAAATAAAACAAATCTATTTGATATAACCCCTTCAAGTCTTACAAGATTATATTTTCATTTCAGCTTTCATTCTCTACTTAGACCGAAATTCTTAGGTCGATATAATCAATACAATGGTTATTTAAGAAGACACATGCATCTAAAATTGTCCCCTTAAAGTCAAAAACTGTACAAAGCAGGTGATAAAGTCAATAGACCTCCACTAGGATGCCTCCAGGACTGCCTCAGATAGGCCATAATCAATTGACTGTATAACATCAAACTTTCCTGTATGAAAATCATTATATACAACCGAATTCCAACACAAACGCTGCCTTGATGAAGTATTTTAATATAACATAAAGTCATTGTGTAGGATATCTTTTTTTTGGCATGTATCGGAATGAATTACTTATTGTCCTTGTTTTATTGGAAAGATAACTCGATTGTTATCGTTAATTGAAAAGATGAAAGAAAACCAACTGTGACCCGGATTTCCGACATATTTTGAAACATATCTGTATAGAAATATAGGAACATTTAACACTTGTTTGTTTATTATTCTTTTATGAACAATCAAGAAATGAAATCTTTATAATGTTTTCAATAGTAAATTCACAATATTATATTTGCATTGAATAATTGCACTAGATGAATATAAAAGTGTATGCAGGTTTTGACACTGCATATCAAATTGTAATTAAGGTGCCGTGTCTCTGTTTAAATTTTGCATAACTGAATAAAAGTTACAATTTGATTTTTGAAATCGTTTGCTGCATTCCACGAATTGGTGATTTATTAATTTGTTTCTGATATTTAAATAAGTATGGGGATAACAAATATTACTCAGACTCAAAGTCCATTTAAATAAAGTGATACAATTCGGGAGTAGAGAAAACACGGACTACCGAAAACAAGGTGCCATATAGGAGTGAGCATCCTTTGTCGATTAGTCACGGTGAGCGGAGGAAAAAGAAAAGACCTTAGACAGAATTTCCTAACAGTCAGTGTGACTTAATGATAGGTTGTATTTGCTGACATGGTCATTGAATCGGCAAACAACTTGCAAATTGATAACTTTAAACAAGACTATTCATATCTTTTTTTTTTACATAAACTTGTTTGTCAATAGCTTGCCTCGTTTCAGAAATTTTCCTACGAAAAGCCTGCTAATCGAATAACTGCAAATTCCATTTGTTGGTGATAATGGTATATTGCTACATAAGTAAGGGAAGTTGACGATTGAAAAGTTGAAGTCATCATCTCTTTTTTGATAAAGCTTTATTGTTAGGTTTCGTCGATTTCTAATAGAATATATTATTATGAATCATATGTATTAGACTCTGTGCTATCAATTATTTCAATCCCAATTGCATATAACGAGTCGCCATATAAATGGTAAGAAAATTTGCTAATAAAGAAGACGTCGTCGACATATCAAAATGTCGAGATAAAGGGTAAAGCAAGTGTGTCCTTTTTTCTCAAAGACAGGGTTTGAATAAATTTCAATCATTTGAATATAAAACTATTTGTCTGCTTATAACGAAGCACAATATATATCCAGGGGAATTCCACAAAGATTGTTGGAAGACCTAATCTCCGAAAATGACATAGAAAATCAAGAATATTTTTAGTATCTACTTTAGAGTACTTGTGTGTACAATCAGGTAGTTTTTAACAAAACAATTTAGTAAATGATCAACGAAAAGGTAGATTTAATTATGAATTCCATTTTTCTCGGAAAAGCAGTTGTCTATGATGTGAAAAAGCCTAGACTTCAATCTATTGGAATATTTGTAGCAAAGTGTACGTTATGATGTAATTCAAGTTTTCTAAACGTTTCTTTGAGTTTATAAGTGTTCATATATGATTTACACCTGTTATTGAGTAAATATTCCTACAGTACTACTGAAGTTTCTCCTTCACTGCTGTAATTTTTTTTGTAAGGAGTAAAAAAAAAAAGGCTTGTTAGAATATTTACTGTTTTCCTTGTACATTGTAATCAATAATCTTGAAGATTGAAAGAGAAATAAATGTATTTATGTTCCTTAGTTCTCCTGCCAGACAACTGAGCTTGTTTTTTGGCTAAAGCAGGCAAAAACAAACAACATCATTGAAGTGAAAAATGTCATTTATTGAAGTAAATGACGTAAAAGTAGTAAAACATATTTACAATACAAGAAAGGGGGTCAGGAAAGGGGACTTAAATATAAAATATTACATATCTTTATCACAATATTGCACAATCTGACCCCCAGCACCATAATGTCATTGTAAATGATATACAATAGAAAAAAGGGGGATCAACCAGCAGACTAATTAAGAAATCAAAACCTGGAAAAACATTGTCATGTATAGTATACATATTATATATCTTCAGTTGACCCCCTATTAAACATAAAAAGTTCTAAACATACATGAAAATAAATGTGTTACATTGCTGCCTGCTATCAAAAAAGGTGGGTAAAAGAACATAAAACACATGGAGGAAGAAGGGGATGGATGGTGGGTACAAAAAATTGAGCAGTACAAATGACGTGACTTTCTCTTCTGGCAAAAAGATAAACAATGGACACGTGATAGCAAAGCGCTTTGCTGATTGGTTGAAAACAATACGGAAAGGGGTAAATCAAGTTACATAAGTAAAGCCCGGATGACACATTGCATAAGTCTATTACAAAAGAGACATTGTTATACAATAATTTAATATAAAGAAATATACAAGAACATGTCACATAAAGGTCATTATTTACAATAATAACTTATTTATGTTCCTTAGTTCTCCTGCCAGACAACTGAGCTTGTTTTTTGGCTAAAGCAGGCAAAAACAAACAACATCATTGAAGTGAAAAATGTCATTTATTGAAGTAAATGACGTAAAAGTAGTAAAACATATTTACAATACAAGAAAGGGGGTCAGGAAAGGGGACTTAAATATAAAATATTACATATCTTTATCACAATATTGCACAATCTGACCCCCAGCACCATAATGTCATTGTAAATGATATACAATAGAAAAAAGGGGGATCAACCAGCAGACTAATTAAGAAATCAAAACCTGGAAAAACATTGTCATGTATAGTATACATATTATATATCTTCAGTTGACCCCCTATTAAACATAAAAAGTTCTAAACATACATGAAAATAAATGTGTTACATTGCTGCCTGCTATCAAAAAAGGTGGGTAAAAGAACATAAAACACAGCCACAATCCAATTGCAAATTGGATCCACCCACCCAAAGGCGTCTTGGCAGGAGACGCAAAACACAAGCCATAAAAAAATGTATAAAATTTTTAAAATTGTAAATATCAGACAAGTTTCTATATCTACATATTTACAGGTACAATATAAAACATACAACAGTAACTACTAAATGTTATCGAAAACTGTAAAAGGCTTTCAACTATAAAAATGCTTTTAGGAAAATACAATAAACGTGGACTACCGGTACAAGCCAGGCACAATGGCAGTTCTAGTTCTTAGTATTGGACTTGTTGATTGCAGACGACTTCTGCCCCGTCAACAAAAATGTGAAACCTAGGCTAAGCTGCATGCAAATTGGGCCCTATAGCTGCAGACCACTTCTGACCAACAAAAGAGAATGTAATTGGGACTTTAAATCTTTATGGATACAATACGGAACCAACAGATGACTACTGACTTGGTTCCTACTGTATGTTACGTTTTCTTTAGACAGTTTAGATCATTTCGGACTATAAATCTTTATGGATACAATACGAAACCAACAGATGACTTCTGACCTGGTTCCGACTGTATGTTACGTTTTCTTTAGACGGTTTAGATCAGTTACCTATTGTAATTTTGACATTTAATGTAAACCCCTGAGAAGGCTTTTATGGTAGCATCGAGTCGAGTATGTCAATGAGAAATACAATGTATATTTACAAATGCCTATATTTTAAATGACTGGATTCTAATGTATCGACGAAAGGCATCAGAATTCCACCTGCCTAATTTTTGAATAACTTGTTCAGAATAGCCTAAGGAGGCTGCATGAGTAGCAGCACCAATCCTGAAACTGTGACCCTTAAAGCTATCTGTATCTAATCCAATAAATTGTATTGCAGTCTTCAAATGTGTAGTTACTAATGAATAAGACACAGGTGAACCATCCATTGTTTGAAACAAAGGTCCAGTCTTGTGGTTGAAAGTTTGAACATAGTTAGACAATGCCTGAACTGGACAATATTGGGAATTTGGACTTGCTTGCAGGTAAATTACTAACGGTTTGTTGTGTTTGTTTGTTTTGTATTCTCTCATGATGATTTGAACTCCTACAATCGAGTTTGATTTGTGTTCAAATGTTACATCTTCCCTTTGCAAAACTTTATCGCTACCCTTTGCAGATTTCACTGTTAGTTCCCCTAACCTTAAAAACGCATGGAAAGCCATCAAAAACACTGCACGAAACAGCACTCTTAGCGAGAAGAGTTTGACTGTGTGATCAAGGGCCTGTACTAGTCTTTGTAGAATAGGTGCAGTTATTGGTAAGCGAGTGTCTTTCCTTGGGCCCAATGTTTGACAGCCTTTAAGAATTTTCTTAACCACAAATGCCTGAGTGGGGTCTGACATATTACAAATTTTATGAACAAAACTGATAGCCGACATATGTGATAAAATAGAACTGGGGGAGTAGTTATTGGAGAACAATACACCAATGAAGTTACATACATCAGTCACCGATATTGGTAGTGAAAGTCCTGGCTTCCATTTCAGTAAATACTGCCAACTTTTGCGATATGCTAGGGCTGTGGATGATGAAAGAGATGAAGTCAGCAATTGCCTACTGATTGGGCTCAAATCGACAAGAGGTCCTTGGGCACCACTGTTTGACTGGGATTCAAGTGAGGTGCTATCCTGAAGGCCTCCTGAAATTTAAACCGAGATAGGTGATCTGCTAAAGTATTACTTTTCCCAGGAATGTGCTTAGCTTTAAAAAGAATATTCTGAGAAAGGGTCACAAGAACAAGTCTCCTAACTAGTTTCATGAGAGTTTTTTCCTTGCATGTTTGCTTGTTTATGGCGTGCACCACAGCTAAATTATCGGACATGAAAAGTATTTTCCTATCGGCAAGATATGATCCCCAAATCTCTAAAGCTAACACTATTGGGAACATCTCTTTAATTGCGATTTGCTGATGTGACATGTCTTTGATTGCGTCCCAACCCAGGGCAAACCAGTTTCTACCCAAAACAGCTGCACAGCCCAATGACCCTGAAGCATCAGTAAAAAGTAATTGTTTTTCAGCAGAGGCCCAAATATCTGGCAGAATAACCGATTTCCCATTAAAGTTATCTATAAAATGGGACCACATACTCAAGTCAGCCCTTGCCTCACAAGTAAGCCTTATGAAAAAATGGGGTTGAGTTATTCCACAAGTTAAATCAATGAGGCGACGCAGAAAAGCCCTCCCTGGGACAACTACCAGACAGGCAAAATTCAAAAGCCCTATTAAAGATTGTAAGTCTTTAAGTGTTATTTTCTTCCTATTCTTGGCTTCGTGTAACCTATCCCTTATTTTTAAGAGTTTAGCCTCTGGCAATCTACAGACCATTTCAATAGAGTCGACTTCAATGCCGTAAATTGTCAATGTAGTAGTTGGACCCTCAGTTTTTTCAGATTTGATGGGTATACCAGATTCTTGACAAATACTTAAAAACCTCTGTAATGATGCCTGGCATGCATCAGACCGGTGTGGGCCTATAAAGAAAAAGTCATCTAACATGTGGGACATGCCAGGTGCACCAAATTTTTCACACATAACCCACTGCAAACTGGTACTGAGACACTCAAAAATTTGGCAAGAGCTACTGGCACCCATGGGTAGACACTTATCATAATAGAAATTACTATCCCAGGAGAAACCTAGGAGTTTGTAGTCTTCAGGGTGTATGGGTACAATACGAAAAGCGTCCTCAATGTCTGCTTTTGCCATTAAAGCCCCTTTACCAAATTTCCGAAGAAGTTCAGTTATATTATCAATTGAGTCGTATTGTACTTTTGAATTTTCTTCAGGAATGCCAAGGTTCACTGAATCAAATTTGGGAAAGGAGAGATCATGAATTACCCTATATTTATTCGGTTCTGATTTTGGAACCACTCCAAGAGGAGAAGAAATGAAATTTAGAAAAGGTGGTTCCTTGAATGGTCCCGCGATTCGACTCTTTTCTTTCCCTACACTAATGAACTGATCAATAACTACAGGGTGATCTAAAGCACTTTTGTGATTTCTAGAGATCTTCATTGTAGGTGGAGATGTACATCCTAGCTTAAAACCTTGTGAAAAACCCTCTGAAATCACTTTTAATTTCTCTTGATCATAGCCTTGTAGTATATGAATAAGCTTATTTATCTTGATTGGGGTTGGTAGATTTTGAATTTGAGTTTGATTTAAAGGAGTAGGAACATTTGACTTTGGGGTGATTGCCCTTGCATTGCATGCAGCTGTGCCTGAATTGACATGGGGACCTTGTGCAACGTTCCCCTTTGTTAAACTGGTAACAGTATTTGACTCGAAAGGGCTGATTTAACGCGGTCTTATTTTGATAACCAGGTTTGGGCAATGTTATAGCTTTCAATCTTAGTTCTTGCACCGGAATTTGCCAAGGTGCAACAACAGATTCTCGTAGTTTACGAAAATGTTCATCATAAGCCCTGAAGGCATTATCCCCATGTAACTGTTGGATCTCTCTGACCATGTGGCAATATTTGAACAAATGGGGTGCCTCCTGGGGAAATTTCTCAATGTAGATAGATGCGAATATCAAAAATGCATCTGTCCATTGGGAAATACTGATCGGGAATTTAAATTTTGGACTCTGCTGTACATTTATAATGCCTGATGAAATTGACACTGAAAGTGGTTCATCTCGTACACTTAACAAAGATCTTAAGTCAACAAATTCATTATTCCAAATCTTAGTTTTGGTTTTTTGTGAAACCGTGGAACTGAGAGGAATCCCATCTGTTAAAGAAATTGTCTTACTCAGTGGGCTTAAGTCCTTGTGTGTAGAGCGGTCCCCAAGGAAAATTTGATCCAAAAGAGTTCCCAATGTGGAAGTCGTTGCTGGCTCAGCACTTTGAGATGTGGAAGGAGATTCCAAGGTCACAGGCATCTGTCTGTCATCTGATGTGTTTTGCGAGGGGGCGTTTTCAGGTTGTTGCTTAGATATGGCTAACATGGCTTCAGCTAGTTTGTTATAATCAATTTGTCCATAGGCAGGCCCCGGGATCACTTCAGGGTGCTCAATGGCTGTAGTAGGCTGTGGTGTCACTTCAGGTTGCTTGGTGGCCATTTTTTGCCTCTTTGTTGGGTTTTTGGCTGGAGTTTGCTTCCGTTTCGGTGGCATTGTAGATCTCTGCAAGAGAATGAAAGTATTACTTCTGCACACTTTATAAAATTTGAAATATCCAACCAATCAATGTATTTGATTCAACAACAAGTTCACCATGCTATATGCATTCAACATATTTTTAAAATTATAAACATTGAAACCAGAAGAGCTTTTTATTTTTATTTATTTTTTCTTTTTTTTCTTTTTTTTTTTTTTTGGATGCATATGATCCTGTATCTACTAATACAATATTGCGATAAAAAAAAAAAAGAAACTTTTGTTTTTTTTTTTTTTTTTTTTTTTTTTTTTTTTTAAATTTAACTCAATCAACATACAGCAAGTGCATATGGTCCTGCACAATTTTTTTTTTAAATTTAATTCTCTCTATCAACATACAGCAAGTGCATATGGTCCTGCACATTTTTTTTTTCCTATCAACATACAGCAAGTGCATATGGTCCTGCACATTTATTTTTTTTTTTTTTTTTTTTTTTTAATTATTATTCATTCATCTTATACTTATAACCAACACTCAAGCATACAATATTGCACCACCATTTAATTGTGCAAATCATTGTGATTTGTAAGAAACTACTCAGTACCAACTTAAATCACAGCTCATGTGTACCCCATAAGCATTACCCTTAGCATTAATTTCTGTTTAAGTCTGAGCATATGGTCTCGCAAGTATATTATGAACTTGCATCATGTTTTACCATACTTTTCAGATAAAATTTTTACATCATGCCTAATCATGCTAAAAGTAAGAATACTCAGCATTCATTATGAAATTATTTTGCACGTCATTTTCTCAGCGTTCTATTAAAATCAATATTTTCCAAAATCATTGGCCCAATGCAACCAGCAATTGTTAACTTTTAGAGCATTATAATGTTAATGGCCATGTATATATGCAGTATCTAAATGACCAAAACATGAGACTTCAATCATGAGCTAGCCCTATCAACTTTTAATGGACCATACATGACTTAAATAAAATTAATATACTGGCCTGTCTTATGCCGGTAGTGCAATACTGCAGAGCGGATACTCCGCCAGAATCGATGCATTGGAGAAGATGTCACAACATGATGCTCCGAGTGTGTGCGCAAATGTACACCATCCTTGCTCAAAAAGTCCAAGCTTTTCCAAAAGCCTCTGTGATGCCAAAAGTGTATATTGTCCAGTTTTTTACATTCATTCATCAAAAGTTTGTTTATGTGGATCACACGGTCATTAAAGTCATTAGATGAGGCCCAAGGTCTACGTCTAAACAATTGACCAATTAAAACAATTTGTACCCCTACACCAAGGTGAATATATGAAGCTAATGATAAAATGTCTCTTGCTATATTGTTAGGACTGCTTAGCAAAATGTCATTTTCTCCTATCTGCATAAAGCAAATATGGGGGAGCACCTCAAAATTCAACAAGTCTCTAAATAGACGACTGTCTCTTAACTTTAGCCCTCCACGGCCATTCACGGTCACCGAATATTGTTCGTCGTTGAGTTTTAGATTACTTAATTCACTTGAATTGTTCATGTAATATCCCAGGCGTCTTATAAAAGAATGTCCAATCAAAGATACACGAAGAATACTGCGATCGTCCATGTTGTGACAGTCCTCTCCGTTGCCCGGATGTAAACACTTACACAATAAAACTTACATAACTGTCTGATTTCACAACAAAACACAAACTCACTTTTGCAGGAAATCTATAGTATCTGTGAAACAAATACGTGCATCACATAACCCCAAATCTTCAGTAGTATGGCTAGATCCAAAACTATCAGGGTTTTCCGGGGAATTAAAGCGAATAATACAAAAAATTGAGCAGTACAAATGACGTGACTTTCTCTTCTGGCAAAAAGATAAACAATGGACACGTGATAGCAAAGCGCTTTGCTGATTGGTTGAAAACAATACGGAAAGGGGTAAATCAAGTTACATAAGTAAAGCCCGGATGACACATTGCATAAGTCTATTACAAAAGAGACATTGTTATACAATAATTTAATATAAAGAAATATACAAGAACATGTCACATAAAGGTCATTATTTACAATAATAACTTATATAAACGATAGAATTCTCATCATATTTATTTATTTTTTTGATTATGTATGGAAATACATTTACATTGTGGCGAATGAAGTCATTATAATTTGATGTTTTCTGTTATGATTTCTGATCAATGATAATGACAATATATACCGTAACCTACTTTTGAAAAAACAAAACAATTGCCTTCATTAGAGATATTACGAAAAAGCCATTAAATGTGTTAAATTGTGGCAAAGGTGACCTTTTTGCCAAGAGATGGCCAATCTTAATGTATCAAGGTTACATCCGTGTTCAATAGCTAAAATGCTCAACTTTGATATATGGCGCCGTACATTTATTGTGGCAAAGGTGACCTTTTTGCCAAGAGAAATCTAAATGGCAGTGTTCAAAGATGCAACTTTAAGACATTGATAGATTTTCTTTTGTTTTTTTACTTTGTGATAACAGTTGAATTTTCAATTTCCCCGTCGTAAACCTTCCTTTTTTTCATTAGCTCCATACATGTTCCATTATTACCTGTAAATAGCAAATAATATGTGTTCAATTCTTTTTGATACCCAATACATTACGAATGAACAATTTTAAGCGAAGTTAAGCTTCTGATAAATAGATTGATGACACAAGGGTTTCAACTATCTCATATTAAGTCAATAGCATGTAAAGTCTTTAGTCGATACAATGACCTGGTCTGTGTTTACAAATACAACTGTCACCAGGCAGAAGGTTTATTAAAGCAATTGCTAGGACATTATTCACAAACTGCAGTGTCTACGGATTGTGTAATGCATAAAAACTATTCATTATGATGGTGTCTAGTCAATCCTCAATTTTCCTAACGTCAACTTCCCGATTTTATGCTTTGAAATACCATTGCACATATCAAAGTCATTTCTCCAAGCCGATTCCATACGCTAGAATATGTTCTACATGAACTTCAAGAACATGCTCTACATGAAAACCGTTTCTAAACGAGGTAAGTTTCATGTATATAGAGAAGTTAATGATAAAAGATACTAAAAGTCTCAATTTAAAACATTTGGTATTTGTTGTCTAGTAATAACAAGGGGCACATGTTAATGTGCGAAAGATTGGCAGGAGATTATTTACTCCTTTATGGCACCTAATCCATCTCTGAAATTTTAAGATGTTTATGTTTCTCTCTCACTGTTCTTTATCTTGATAGTCCATTCAGGACCATGTGGTGATTTTGAATATAGGTGTTTTGGAATCCTTTCAAAGAATAATATATTAGCTAACAGATACCTTTAACTGGAAATATCACTTGTTAATTGTTTAAACTCGTTTAATTATAATTGCAATTTTTTAGTTAAAAAGAATATTTTTTCTTTCAAAAGAGTTTTCACGGTAAGGTTTCTAGTGACTGTTTTGATATCAATTGACTCAATATCTTTCTTTGATTTCAGTAGGCTACTACTTTTTGCATTCGTAGCATGCCAGTAAAGTACTCGTAGGTAATTATAATCATAAGAATAATTATGCATTCAATTAAATAAGGAAATGTTTTAAAACATTAAATACTAATGGTGATTATATATCATAAAGTGACAACGTTATATAGATTTGAAGCTGAAGACATTTTCTTAATTTTCATTTTCGTTTTGTTTTGAATTTTCAAACAGATACAATCTTAATAATCTTAACAATAATATTTGATTCATTTTTTAATCATTAAGCTCAAGAGTGATAAATCGAGAAGTATACTACTATTATACATATTTTATGATGATTGTCAAGTGTACGTCAAAATTAGCAATTTTTATAAAACATTGTGTCTGTAAAAGTGTAGTTGGAAGTCGTACATTTTAGAGATTGTCTCTTATGATTACAATTATATTGTACACAACGTAATTGACTTGATTTAATTCTGAAAGTACAATGCACTTCAAGATTTTAAAGGTTTTGCAACCACTCTCACAACAGATGTAAGTGTATAATTCACACGACTGTTTTCCGTTTCCTTGATGTTTGTTAGTTAGGGCGGCCATTTTCTCAGATGTCTGGGTAAAGTGGATGTAGTCTAGAGTTTTGTCATTGTAGTCTTGTTGTCTATAATCAAACAATCTTAGTGGGAACAAAATAATGACCAAATTTAATTTCTAAGTACTTCGGTGTTTTTTAAGCACTTCTCTGAGTCAACAGTGAGTCCTTATATGATAAAAAGTCGATGTGCTCTTCATCTGCACATCTAGAGAATGTCAAAAAGTTTGCAAGATTGTAACGTTTTTGAATGATCGATTTATATCTACTTTTTATCCCTAATTATAGAAAAGTCTGCATCATATGGAGTTTCATGTGGAAAGAGGGAGAAAAGGAGAATTGTGGCATTATGTTCTGGTTATTCTTTTATTTTCAAATATTTGTACACAAGTTCTAGAAAAATGTACATTTAATCACATAAATAATCAGTTAAATGTTTGCTATGTACCGTTTATGTCTACACGGACGCAGATAAGAAGACGGGTTTGATAACTTTTTTTGAAATCAGACAGAACGTTAGGTTACATATGTAACCCGAAGTCTACTGATAATAAGATATAATTATTCCAAGCTAATTGAAGATATAATGGTGATGACTAGATAGAACCTTTATGATTATGTTAAAATATCGATATGTTATCTGTACCTACCGTCGACAATTTGAAGAATACGAGAACGTGCAAAAAGTACATGACACCTTGATTACACAAATTCTTAGTCTGTTGATCAGATGTTATCAAATTCTAATAATCATCACATTAAACAGTATTTTAAAGTGTTGTTTATTGGTAAGATAAATTTGTACCTTCATAAGGAATATTGTTCTTTTACAATTCGAGGCTTACATAAGAGTAAAGACGATTATTTCGGGGTACTTTTGAAGTACATAGATAATTTGAATTCATTCTTAAATGATTGAAGGAATGTCAATTAGATTCATTGTAAAATGTTGTGTATATTTTTCTTAGCGCTTTATATCATTTTTTAATTGCAAGTGTTTATCTAATAAAAGTATTTACATAGCATATGAAATATTTGTAGTGCTTGTAGTTTTGAGAACGTTCACTGTCAGTTATTTTCAACTTTGTTATTGTATTCGTGCATCTTTAGAAAGACCATTTCATGTAACACAAAAATAAAGTAATTTGGTTGGTTATATTTAGAAAGGCAAATTTCCTCAGAAATAATATAAACAGGTCGTATTGGATAACTCAAATTTTTATCACCTATTCCTTTGCATTCTTCATTTCTAGACAAATTGTAGAAAAGCCACTAGCCGTTTCACAAGCTAAGATAATAAATTCAACTTCTCAATCCTTTTATTGGAATTCTAGAGACCCAGCGTTTTTTGTAATGAATTGTTTGCACGTTCATATGATTGGCGTATATTGGTGTAATTAACATAATTATTCAGGAATAACTTATATGCTTCCTGCTATATACAACTGTCAGAACTTTAGTAACAGTCTGTAGAATGTTAATTTTTGTGTATGATATGTGCCCTGGGTCCGAGACGATGAACCGAGAACAGACTTAAGTCAGAATTTAGATTTTGAATATCCTGAGTTTTATTTAATGTATTTGCTTTAAACAATGGTAATGTGATAAAGATTGAGATTCTCAATTATGATGAACATTTTGTTGAATTATCGAAATTATTTCAAAAGTTATATTAATTTGTAATTTTGACTTTCGTCTGTTCTCGGTTGGTGGTCTTGGAGTTTGTCCTCTAGATTATATGTTAGAAACAGTCTCAATGTTCTTTATGTATCAAAAAGCAAGAAACATGATTAAATCTATGGAATTCCTAGACTGAAAATCAATACACGTAAGGTTAAGCGGTAGATGAATCTTTAGATAAGAGAATAAAACATGTAATCTGGTCGTATATGTATTTTTTGCTGACATTATTCATACCTATTGTAATAATATTATAAAGCCTTTGTTTTATAATAAATGTGACAAAGCAATATCCTGTCTTCTCATTAATACATGGGGCTAACGGCAGGTGTGATAAGTTGACAGGGGATGTTTTCTCCTCTTTGACATCTGATTCCAACTCTGGAATTCCGGGGATGGAGAGGTCTTGTTTTTAGCCCTTTTAACAGATTTGTATTGTTTGTATTTTTTTTAATTGATTATTTTTCGATATCCTTAAATGTACCTAAACATAGACATATTTTGATTTTGCGTTCCACCACTACTTTATTCCTTACTGCTTAAAGACCGTACATGCCAAGTATATAGGTTTAAGATTGATGCCTTTTTGGTTTTTCCAAGTCATTAAATAAACAACTAAACAAAAATATCAAAAAAAGATTTAATTATTTCATGTTCACATAGAGTTCATGGAACAATTCCTTTATGAGCGCAAGTATTTCTTCCAGAAAATGCAAATATGATGAAAATAGCATCTACAGTTTTTTTTGTGACACTCACATTTGTAACCATTTAAGGACCCCTTAATGTAAAATTTAGTTCAATAGGTCTTTCGCCAAACTACTTAGTACCCCAAAAACTCAAATGCCACCATATAATGAATGAATTGTTTCTGTATGAGAATATAAGGAAAAAGGTAAATATTGCTTCAATTTTTTATTAACAAGGTGAAAAATCAACCAATTGTACATTATATATTCATAATAACATTTCTTTTCAGTCATCTTGTTCTTCCTAGCAATCATCTCTATATCTATACACATATGCCATGGAATGCCTTTCGTTGTTATGTTAGCCAACAGAACTAATCCAGTGTTCAGATTTTTTTTACCAAGCTGTATTACATAACGAAGCAGGAAATGTACAGCTTTGTCACATGATTTCAGAGTCGGTGCCATCATCGGAGACAGATTAGTCTGTGATGTATGAGACAGGGGCACTTCTAATTGACCTTCTGCATTAGCGACACTACGTGTTAGGCGCACAAAGCACTAATTGTTGCTATCACCGTTTCCTCTTTTGGATGCAGAAGGGTTCTGCAAAACATTGTTTCACGTCATCAAATGGCGCCAGGAAATGATAGTCAATCTCCCGTGCTGTATGCTCTTTCCAAAGAATCCTGTGAGTATTTCCACAATTTAATATTCTTCATTAGTATTCCATAATATTTCTTATCATCAAGGTCGGGTTCCTCCGGTAGGGGTCTCATGAAGAAAAGGGAGGATTTTCTCAGAGAATGGCGGGAGGACATAGCTCTTTGTGGAGAAGGTGAGGGGGTATCATTGTCACTGTCTTCTGATCCAACAAGGTCCTCATAGCTGCTATCGATATCTGGAAGGAAAACCAAATTCATGAGAAAAACAGAGGACATTTTTTCTTATTAGCAGAAACTTCATGAAAATAGTGTCTTGATTGAACAAGATATTATACATTACCTTCTAAGCTTGAGTTTAAGGAGCCCCTAGGTGACGGAACTGGTTCACTGTTGTGTCTAGTAAGCACTTTCCTGGTATTGCAAGCGCTGTCTGAGCATCGTCTTGTTTGAAATGGCTCTGGATTAGGTTTGTTTATTACACTAAAACTTGCGCTCCTATGGACTGCGAAACCAGATCGTCTTCCACTGGACATGGAGCTGATAGTCGTATTGATGGCAATTAATTGCTTCATCAGTTGTACATCCTGACTGCGCATATCCATCTGTTACAATGTAAAAAAGAATAATTATTGACATATAAAACAAGCATAAATGCAGTTATTTTGACAGAATGCAAATATAAATATTTCCTACCAGATCAGATTTCAATGCAGCTAATGCTAAAGTAATTCTTTCCTCTGAGGTACTTGCATCCATTTCTATAATATTATAGAGATTAATGAAAGAAATATTAAATTCCAATGCAGGTAATGTGAAACACTTACCTTGTCAACACTCTCTGCTACTTTTATAGATCTATGTGTCTTGTTGACACGGTGCTCAGCCAATAGACCATTCATATCGCAGCCTTACTCCGCCCCCTGTTTTATCTGTGGTTGACAACAATGATAAATGTCTTGATACGAAGGATATCGCACTCAATAATTAGGTCTTTATCTTATTCTTTTGATTTTTGGTGCAATTCCTTATTAATAATTTTGAATTCTTATAATGAGAAGTATCAATTATTTAAAAAAAAATATCATGATTGTTTCACTTTTTTGTTTACGAAAATAGTATTTGTTTGAAGCATTAACATTGTACGTGTTAACGTGATTTCGTTTTGCTAATTTGAAGTTTTATTTCTAAATAATAATTTTATAATATTCTAAGGATAGAGTGAAAATCTTATTATGGTTTGTCATTATATTCTAAAGGTAGAGTGAAAATGTGTTTCTCAATAACAAAACTTCATTACATATAAAAATGAAAAATTCACCCTATCATCTATGATACAACGCTGGAAAATATCTTTTCACAACATATAAAAAGCATAAAAAATTTGAGTACCTAGTTTTAAGTCCATATATTTCCCTATACATGTATTTCTATTTAGAATTATAATTTGCATTCTGCAATTTTTATTTAAGTTCTTCAATTAATTAAAACGTGACACTGAAAAGTAAATTTTAAAATGATACAGCGAATTTTAGTCTTTCGTACAAAACAACACGATCTATAGAATTTCTATCATGACACAGCACTGTTACATGCGGATTTCATGTCAGAAAAGGGAAGGTTTAAAACCAGCGATACATTTTAAATAACACATTGATTCCCCAAGCGTAGGGTGTTCCACTTAACAATTAGCATGTGGACTTCCTAAACTTTTCTCTTAAATATGTCATGCATTGACAATATATAAGATGTTTTGTCATGGACTGATTTTAATTAGGTTGATTGATTGTCATGAGAAAACGTTTTAAAGACAAATAAATTTTTCATTTTATTAATTTTGCGCAATGTACAACGATGCTGAAGTTGTCTTTCTTGAATTCATCAAATCGTGACTTATAAACACCTTAACTTCTTGATAAACAACTGTTATTTACAGAACATGTATGTAACTACGGAGATTATTTGTGTGCCAAAATATATAAACTATTTCATCGTAATGTGTCATTTTACTAGTATATTGAACTTGAAAATATGTCAATAATATTTTTGAGACGTTGTAAATCTCGACGCACAACAGTAAAAGATAGAGATCATTTGTGTCATTTTTAATAAAATCGTAAAACATGTTCATAAATTTTGTAAAAAAAAAAAAAAAATAATTAAAAAAAAAAGAAAATAAAAATAAATAAATAAATGTAAAAATAAAAAGAAATCAGATTTAATGACTATATTAATTATTTTCTCAAAACATTTGTATATCCTTTATTTAGGTATATAGGAAATTT